CCTAACTCCCTTGCATTTTGTTTCCCTTCTCTTCTCTGCTATTTGTATGGCCTCGTTGGACAGCCACTGTGCTTTCTTGCATTTCCTTTTCTTTGGGATGGTTTTTGTTGCTGCCTCCTGTACAATGTTATGAGCCTCCATCAATAGTTCTGCAGGCACTCTGTCCACCATATCTAGTCCCTTAAATCTGTTCTTTACTTCCACTGTGTATTCATAAGGGATGTGGTTTAGATTATACCTGATTAGCCCGTGGTTTTTCCTACTTTCTTCAGTTTAAGCTTGAGTTTTGCTATAAGAAGCTGATGGTTAGAGCCACAATCAGCTCCAGGTCTTGTTTTTGCTGAATGAGCTTCTCCATCTTTGGCTGCAGAGAACATAATCAATCTGATTTTGGTATTGCCCATCTGGTGATGTCTGTGTATAGAGCCGCCTCTTGTGTTGTTGGAAAAGAGTGTTTGTGATGACCAGCTTGTTCTCTTGACAAAACTCTATTAGTCTTTGCCCTGCTTCGTTTTGAACACCAAGGCCAAACTTACCTGTTGTTCCTTTTATCTCTTGACTCCCTATTTTAGCATTCCAGTCCCCTATTATTAGAAGAACATATTTCTTTCATGTCAGTTCTGTTTTAAGTCGTCATAGAACTAGTCAATTTCAGCCTCTTCAGCATTGGTGGTTGGTGCATATACTTGGATTACTGCGATGTTGAAAGGTCTGCCTTGGATTCGTATTGAAATCATTCTATCATTTTTGAGATTGTATCTCAATGCAGTTTTTCCCACTCTTTTGTTGACTATGTGGGTTACTCCAATAGTAGATATGATAATCGTCTGAATTGAATTTGCCCATTCCTGTACATTTTAGTTCACTGACGCCCAGGATGTCAATGTTTATTCTTGCCATCTCCTGTTTGACCATATCCAGCTTACCGAGGTTCATAGATCTTACATTCCAGGTTCCTATGCAGTATTTTTATTTGCAGCATCAGACTTTCCTTTCACTTCCATGCACATCCACAGCTGAACGTCCTTTCGGCTTTGGTCCAGCCACTTCATTAGCTCTGGAGTTACTTGTCCTTGTCCTCTGCTCTTCGTCAGTAGCGTGTTGGACGTCTTCCAACCTGAGGGGCTCGTCTTCCTGTGTCATATCTTTTAGCCTTTTGTTTCTGTCCATGGAGTTTTCTTAGCAAAGATACTGGAGTGGCTTTTCAGTTTCTGGTTTTGGCTG